AACAGCTCTGATGAATGTAAGTAATGGTGGTGTGGATCTGTTGCCTGGAGAAAGACTTCTCGACCTTGAGTATGCGGACGATATTGTCTTACTGTGCGATAATGCCCAAGGCATGCAATCCGCACTTAATCAGTTGCCAATCAATGTCCGTAGGTATGGTATGTGCTTTGCACCTTCGAAGTGCAAAGTACTTCTACAAGACTGGCAGGATTCTAATCCTGTACTCACCCTGGATGGTGAGCAGATAGACGTAGTTGAGAAGTTCGTGTATCTGGGTAGCTGCATAAGTGCTGGTGGGGGTGTGAGTGATGAGATCAATGCACGTATAGTGAAAGCCAGAGCGGCTTATGCCAATCTGGGCCATCTTTGACGCCTTCGTGATGTTAGTCTAGCCGTAAAAGGTCGGATCTACAACGCGTCGGTGAGAGCAGTTTTGCTCTATGCTTGTGAAACCTGGCCTCTCCGAGTTGAGGACGTTAGACGACTCTCTGTGTTCGATCATCGCTGTCTCCGAAGGATTGCTGACATTCAGTGGCAACACCATGTCAGTAATGCAGAGGTTCGGCATCGTGTGTTCGGGCACAGAGATGATAATTCAATTGGTGTCACCATCTTGAAACACCGACTTCGGTGGCTTGGACATGTTCTCCGAATGTCGTCCCAGAGAATTCCACGTCGTGCATTATTTGCCGACTCTGGGACTGGTTGGAAGAAGCGGAGAGGTGGTCAGTGCATGACATGGTGTCGTGGCATGAAAGAAAGCTGCAAAGGACTGGCGTGTGTTGGTTCTTCACGACTCCCTGGTTGGGGTCTGAGAGATGGTGCTACACAGTGGCTAGAGACGTTATCAGATATGGCTCAGAATAGAAGCCAGTGGCGATCCTGCTGTAACCTTCTTTTACTTTCTTCATAAACAGTGGTTGTGTCTCTCTTACCTGAAAGATTTCTTCCGATTGTACCTTTGCGTTCCCTGATTACTAGCACATTACCTTACACCAATCTCTTCGTTATTGTTCTCTCTTTTTTTTGTTGCGCTCCTTAGCTTTTTTTTCTTTTCTTTGTATTCCTCTCGAATTTTCATTGTTTTGTGTGGCGCATATATATTGGCGCTCCCCTGTACCAATATTCATGTGTCCAAATAAATAAATAAATAATACTCTGCATTTTGTCAGCGTCCTCACCAAACAGGACTATATCATCTGCGTATTCTAAGTCGATAAGTGGACCTCCTGGAAGGAGATCAATACCCGAGAATTCAGTCGACGAGAGTGTTATTTCCATCAATAGGTCTATGATGAAGTTAAACAAAAATGGAGAAAGTGGACAGCCTTGACGGACACCACTTGAAGTTGCAAAAGTAGATGACAGTTCGCCATAAGCCCTGACTCGACTAGTAGTGTTCGAGTAAAGAGCCTTCACAAGGTTTATGTACTTCTGAGGTACGCCTTTCAATGACAGACACTGCCACAGAGTCTCGCGGTCTACAGAGTCAAACGCTGCTTTTAAGTCAAGAAAGACCACCATCGTCGGACGCCGACAGGTATGCCTGTGTTCTAGAACCTGACGAATGGGGAATATGTGGTCGATGCAGCCACGACCAGGTCTAAAGCCAGCTTGGTTCTCTCGAGTTTGTAGTTCACGAGTCTTAGTTAGACGTCTGATAATTATCGAGGCCAGTATTTTAGATACTATATTAGTCAAACTAATCCCTCTGTGGTTGTCACAGGATGATTTTGACCCTTTCTTATATATTGGGACGATAAGTGATTGCGACCAGTCAGATGGGATAGAGTCTAATTCCCAGATCTTAGCTAAAATATTAGTCAACCTAATCGCTAAAATTGGACCACCATCCTTAAAGACCTCTGGAGCCAATCCATCTGGACCAGCTGCCCTTCCTCGTTTCAGATTAACTATAGCTTTTTGAACTTCAGCAAGAGTTGGGGGACCTACTTCAATGTTCCATTCACATTGTCTGGGAATGGAGGGTAGTTGTAGAGTAGCTGAAGGCCAGCTGAACTGTTCTCTAAAATGTTCAGCCCATCGTTCTAAACGTCTGGACTGGGAGCAGATGAGAGTATCATCTTTTTCCGAAATAATCTCACTTACACTTGACTTATTAATTCCAGTTTCTTTTATTAGTCTGTAAAGCTGTCTTGTGTTCCCTATAGTCGCCGCCTTTTCCATCTCTTTTGCTTTCGTTACCCACTACTGCTCACGGTCGTTCCTTAGACTTTTTCTTAACCTAGATCTGATTTGTTTTCGCTCTTCATCATGTTCAGAACCTGATGGGACGAGTTTGCGAGAATCCATCAGTGTGACAGACCTTGAAGAAATCCACCAGTTCCTTGCAACTCTGTGGTTTAAGTCACTAATAGATGTCACTGCTGTTTCCACAGCTGATTGTATGCCCTTCCAAGCAACATCTGGGTCAGCCTCGTCTTCACAACTACCTAAGTGTGACCTCAGTTGTTCCTGGAACCTACTTTTGGTTTTCTCGTTACTCAAATCAGTTCTAACGGGTCTTTTTAATGTGGCTTTTTTGCGTCCAGTGAGGCGCAAGCAGATGCGTGCCCGTATTAGGGCATGGTCGGAGTCCAAGCAGGTAATCCAGAATGAGTGACAATCTTCTACCGACCCTCTCCAACAATGACTGATGGCAATATGGTCTATTTGAGTCCATCGTTGGTTTGGTGTAGGGGGTCGCCATGTTAGACGATGTCTCTCCTTATGCTTAAAATTTGTGTTTGCTAAAAATAAACGATTGTCTGAGCACAGCTGCAGCAGACGATCACCATTATCTGTTCGCTGTGTCGGAATACTAAAATATCCACCTAAATGCCTTTCTGTTTGGTTTAAGCTACCTATCTGAGCATTAAAATCACCTGCTACGAGTACTATGTCTGAGCGTTTAGCTTTCTGAAGAAGTTCAGAAAGCTTTCTGTAAAATTCATCTTTCACTTCATCTGAGCTGCAGTCAGTGGGAGCGTAGACAGAAACGACAAAAAGGCAACGACGTGTGTCCCTATCCTTCCGAGTTCTTACGTAGCCGTTCAGCCGAACAGCACATAGACGACTGTTGACGGGGATCCACTCTAGCAGTGCTTGTTCGGCCCTCATGCTTAGTGCTATGCCTACACCTGCCAGTCCACGAGAACTGGCCATCGGGTCACCAGATACATGAAGGGTGTATCTCGTTGGCTCTCCGTTTTGCCGAGGTGAGGTCAAGTGAATGACCACACTGGGATCCTGTATGCGTGTTTCAGAGACACAGCATACATCAATGGAAAGAGACTCTAGGGTTTTAGCCAAGGAAGCCTGCTGACCGATTTGACATAGAGTGCGTACGTTGAAAGCTCCAATGTGTAGTTTGGAGCGAGGTTTCAGTAAACCCGGGACAGAGTTTTGAGCACTAGAATCGTTGGCTATGGTGACACTTGAGGAGGAAGCCGAAGGAGGAATTTTAGGGTTGAAAGTCGATGTAGGAGGAATAATAGGAATTGAAGAGGAAGGTTGATTATGAATACAGTGGTCTTGGGTGCTGTTAGAGGTATGAGGGCGGTTATCACTTCCCGGTTGCCCACACCGTGGAAGGGTTCTTCTGGAGGTACCTGAAAATGAAATTGGATTAGAGGTGGTCTCAGTGACCTGAGAGCGTGACCGCAGTGCCCAAGGGACAACTGCTTGAGGCCGGTCGCGCACGGCCTTTTTGTGTAAGGTTTTCGACGTGTTAGCTCCGTTCTTCAAAGGGCCTTACCGCCGGAGACAGAAATCCGTGAGGTAAGGTGAGGTGTGCATTTTTAGGGTCGACCTTTTCTAACCCCACCCCTCCTTGTGGGAAGGCAGCATCGCTGTCATGCTGGTTGTCTGAAGGAAACACCTTACTGCTGTCACACCTCTGTACAGTCAGCAGTACGACTTCGCCTTCGGACCTTGGGTTTGTTGCTTTTAGTCTTACCGCTCTTCAACCGACCTGTCTGACATGGTAGGACCTTGAGGAACGGTTGTTCCAGCCAGTATAGCTCGGTTGCTTCATCACGATAGGCAAGCCCGACCACCACGTCAAGGTAGCAACAACGGTCGGGATCTTTACAGAATATCACGATTAATTGCAACGAACGTGCTCGAAATGATATAATACATACACATTACAACCGATGAACAAGTATTTATGATTAATTGTCTCAGGCTTTATTGTTCTTTCATTTTCATACCAATCACTCTCTGTTCTCGTTCATTTCTCTTCAAACTTCTCAACCCTCTGCCTCCAGGCATCTCACTTTCGATTGATGATAAACACTACTGATATCTGTCGACATCAACAGCACACACCACAATATCACAAGACAGAAACTACTTTAAAACTGCGTATAATATCAAACAAGAATACTATTGACAATATACCGTTTTAAACACTAAAGTACAGTAAAAAAGTGATTGACTCGTCTGTTAGTCTGATATCCTTTAGGAATATTTAGATCAAGCAGTAATAAGAATTAGAATTCAAAGTAAAAATATGAATCACATGGATTAACGATTTAACACTTTTTATTAATGATAATGTTCCCTCATATTATATTATCCGTACACACGAAACATAATACCGGTGAAAGAAAATTGGTTTGGCTACCCATCATAAAGTGTCTACTATGCACAATTTAGTGAGTAAATTAGGGAAGTAAACACTTATGATGTTAAATGCTGTGATTGTTCAAAAACGTTCGTCATCTTACGATGAGATGGTTAAAATGCGCATTAACATTGAGTAGAAATCACTACTCAATTTTATGTACATTTAAAACATCTGACGCTGTCTGAGAGATGAAAATCGACTATTTCTTTGAAAGTTATGCAATACTAAGTAATGTACATTAATTTTACATTAAGAAAAAAGGCACACACGAGCTGCCGATTTATATTGGCTATTATTAGAAACCGAAGATAAATGGAACACAGAAATCAAGATAGAATACAAAACAAAAAAATAGAAATGCAGTTACCTGTCTTTAACTGAAGTTATATATACAGATGATAAATACGATAAAAATTGATCAATTTCAGCTAGAATTGTATTATATCGAAATTGTGGATAGTAGGTATTCAATGAATTTGAAATAATGGTTGAAAGCGAATAGAGAACAGCTTTATCCAATGCAGTAAGACAAAAAGAATTGCAATTATTTTCACTAACATTGTTTGCCATGTCCAAAGTTAATTTAGACAGTGAATAATTTGATTTTTCATTATAATTTAGCTGGGTAACTGGACAAAAGTCGTATAAATTTCCAGTCATAAAGCGTAGACTGTTGCGTAGCTATAAGGTGGAAATGTCAATTGAACAAAGGCTATAACATATTGAATCGACTGAAAAAAACATTGACGCATTCTTTCGATAATGTGAGCAAGTTGGGTAGTGTTGATATATGACGCAACCGATTTTTAGAATACAGATCCGTGTACCTGGCTCTGAGACACTTTATATGTTAGGGCTAGTGATATTAACATGGTGTCCAAACCTAAATGAGTAGTACGGGGCACACACCCCCCCAACCCACTAGTTCAAAGTCATACGCCTTATTTATTAAACAAGGCTCCACTCAAAGATAGCATTACAAGGTGTAAATATCAGAACGATAATTAGGAGTAATGATAACCCTTTTCTGAGAATTTTTTTTAATAGAATTAGGGGAATCATGTTTTCTCGAAGGAGTTTGATGATTTCCATATAGTACAAAAGCAAGGGAAAATACAAGTCAAACATCAAGATAAAGGTGGTCCACTGGAAAATGATACAGAACGCGAAAATCATCTCATCCATACTATAAAGAGGATGAAATAAACGTTTTTAGATATGGGGAGTGAATATAACTGTAAGATATAGTGGCCATTTTATGCATATTGTTGTCATTATTTGAAAGAATAAAGAGTATAAAAAATTCCCCATTTAACTGAACCGCTAAAGTAACTTTAGCTCTAAGTAATGGCTATACTTATAGATCGTGTATTGGAATTAAAGTGCAAAAAGTAATTCACCCATTAGGAAATAGATAAAATAATGTCATCAGATTACAGTTATGATGTTATTAGGACGTGAATAGCATTACAAACCAAGATAATCAGTGAGAACGTTATGCAGTAAGGATATAATTTGAAAATCATGGTAAAAAATGTGCCAAAAAATGAAATTGGAAGTATATCATGTAGATTATTTTCAGTAAACACCTACCGACAAGATTGATATATGTAAAAAGTTTAACATTAAACATGAATAGCTGAGGTACCCAATGTTAGAGGGAAAAAACATGAACACAGATTATCGAAGTGGTTATCAAAAGCACATTCTACCAGATGTGTTCTGATAAACGTATCGTTTACGCAACTATTATGACGTAACCCATTTGTCAAGCGTAGATTCCTGAACTTGGATTTGAGTAAATCCTATGTATGAGGACTAGTAAACACTACTTGAATGCTTAGACTGAAGTAGGCAGAACAAGACTCGAGTCGGAGACGATGTGTTTGGAAGTCGAATGCTAAGCTCCATCATGCAACTAAGATATTGGTAAATTATAAATTTTATTGAGAAATACTTTTTTCGATTAAAAACAAGTCAATTAAAAGTACATTTCATATTATCATACGATGAGGATGGAATTCAAACTCAAAACCCTATACATTTATGAACTATTAATCTAAATAAAGTTCCATTAGTTGTTTTACAGCTAGAATAAACTCCAACAAAGTTAATCAGCATATAAATGGTATTACATGTCAAAATTTGCTCAATGGGTAATTTTATGGTCAAACAATGAAAAAAAGGACCAAGCGAAGTGTAACACAACCAACAAAAAATAATTTAGACGTGTATTACACAAAATTTTCATTTTATGAAAGTCATGAACAATAAAAAAAGATTGTTCTTTTGCTTACAGATTTATAACTAGCAGCATTTTGATTGATTTCCTTAGAACCTAAATGACATATAGGATCTAAACCAGAAAAACATGCCCATCGACGCATTATGTCAACACATCCATTTTGACTAGAAATTATTTCTTTTGGAGTAATACCATTTCCTAAAGATTTCGACATTTTACGACCACACGAATCTGCAGCAAAACCATGTATTACAAGATTTCTAAAATCAAATCAAGTCAAATCTGAGAGTTAGAAAATCACATAAGAATACGGAGAAAAGCAATATGTGATTTTAACTACAAAGTAATTAGTTTCTATAAAACGTTTAAACGACTAACACATTAATATTGGTATTTGTGATAATGCATACATTCCAGTTCGAATGTTTTATTTACTTTTATTGATAAGCATCTCAATTCAGTTACCGTCATCAGTGAAACTTAGTCAAGATTTCAAAGTGATTTTTTATAAATAGTAAACTAACCAAATCTAAGTACTTGGTTACATTATTCGATGGAAGCTAAAGCGTACTGGGAATTCCAATAACTTGCAAATTATTTTAATTTACATGAATTCAAATTTCAGTACGTATAATATTTCTAAAGACTTCAAATATGCTGTGTTCATGACTTACACGGATTTTAAAAGTCAACTCCAAGTCCTTGGTAGGATATATGACTACACATCCGGAATACAGCCCCCAAATACCCTGGTACGGCCAAGAGTGGGGAGAGTCCGCTCTCCCTCTCGAAATGCCCTCACATGGCAACGCGTATATAGCCTCTGCCAGGGAAGTCCTACTCACTGCCTTCTCGTACCACGGGTGTTGCTTACGAAAATGGGAGGAAGAAAAGCGAATGTCCGGCGCTTTAACCGGATCACAAACCAATGGTGCACATGGGCTCCAGTATCCTGCGGGAAAAAATGGCGTATGAACCAATTGTTGGTCACCGGCTTCCAGGGGACTGCATCTCCTCACGATGCTCCACTGCCTTGTGGATCAGACTTTCAGGTCAAAGGCTCGGGGAGTGGCCCCCTAAGGAAACCACCTGCTTCGGTTTGGGCACCCGGGCAGTATCACAGCCCTCACACATATCGAATGAAATTTGTGTGGCGCATATGTATTTGGTGCCTCCTTGTACCAATATCTATGTGTTAAAATAAATAATAAATCCAGAATACAAATTTCAGTATTCTGAAAGTCACTTCCTCATACAATTAAGATGAAACAGTTAATAATTTGAAGTGCGATCTCGGTCTGATAAGTTTGGTATTTTATTGTTTCAGCCAGAACATGGTCGGTGAAGGCAGTAATTATATATGTGCTAAATAATTATCTTCGTAGCTTACCAACCAACATAGTTCCATTTAATGTCGAAAGCAAAACTTGGAAACTGTTGTCAGGTAGTCAATAGACCACAAGCAACAACTCGGAGGCGATAATTGATGTAAAGCCTGTAATCCTTTTACATTATCCATTCCAAAATACAAATTAGAATTATAGGAGGAAGAAAAGCGAATGTCCGGCGCTTTAACCGGATCACAAACCAATGGTGCACATGGGCTCCAGTATCCTGCGGGAAAAAATGGCGTATGAACCAATTGTTGGTCACCGGCTTCCAGGGGACTGCATCTCCTCACGATGCTCCACTGCCTTGTGGATCAGACTTTCAGGTCAAAGGCTCGGGGAGTGGCCCCCTAAGGAAACCACCTGCTTCGGTTTGGGCACCCGGGCAGTATCACAGCCCTCACACATATCGAATGAAATTTGTGTGGCGCATATGTATTTGGTGCCTCCTTGTACCAATATCTATGTGTTAAAATAAATAATAAATCCAGAATACAAATTTCAGTATTCTGAAAGTCACTTCCTCATACAATTAAGATGAAACAGTTAATAATTTGAAGTGCGATCTCGGTCTGATAAGTTTGGTATTTTATTGTTTCAGCCAGAACATGGTCGGTGAAGGCAGTAATTATATATGTGCTAAATAATTATCTTCGTAGCTTACCAACCAACATAGTTCCATTTAATGTCGAAAGCAAAACTTGGAAACTGTTGTCAGGTAGTCAATAGACCACAAGCAACAACTCGGAGGCGATAATTGATGTAAAGCCTGTAATCCTTTTACATTATCCATTCCAAAATACAAATTAGAATTATGCTAGTCTAATCTAGTGAACTGAAGTTCGAAGTACAGATAAATGGAAGACAAATCTAAACATTTGATTATATAATTACTTAAAAGGTGCACGTCCAGTAAGTGCAGTGCTAAGTAAAAGTGAAGCTGAAAACCAACCACGAAATTGATCATGACCTTCCAAATACGTATCTGCAACAAGATTTGAGCAAGGTAAGCGTGAATAATTACTGCCTAAAATGAAGTGATAAAAGAAAGAAAACAAAATACTTACTAAGCACACTTCAACAATACAATGAAAAACAAGCAGTTAACAAAAAACTTGCTTTGTTTAAAATGTTTAATTTCAGTAAACATTCGTGAGTAATGTTTAATTCAAACACGGACAATTAATAATTCACATTCAAAATGTTATAATTAGGCTGATGGTGTTAGAATTTTACAATAACTAAATTCATAATTTAACCAGTACACGAGATTGTGAGATAAATCTCAATCATTGGCGAGTATATAATTTTACTTTTATTTCAAAATGAACTGTGTGAACAGTAACGGTCACAATGTGTTGTGCGCTGTTTATGTGGACAGATATAAGTAGTATGTAGCAGGAATAGAAAGTGGAATGCTTAGCAGCAGAAGATTAAAATAAAGAGAAGAGGAAGGGAAACAAAGAGCAATTTGATTAACAATTGAATTGGAAGAATGATGGACTATGTAAAGGACAAGTGACGGAAGATATCCAAGCGATGTATTCAATGTACGTTTTTCAAATTTTACAGAAGCGCCGTTTAATTTTGTAAAAACCAATAATTTGATTTATTGTACTTGAGTTTTCGTTCACTACACTACCAACTGATGCCAGTGAGATAAGAAAAAGTTTAGTAACGTGTTGATCATGTTCAATATAATTATTGAATTTATTACTTTATGCTGCGTTTATAAGTATGAACTACTACAGAAATTTACTAAACTGACTATTATACACTTCGTAAAACAGAAACATACTATTTATAACACACAACCATGAAAGACCACTATCGAACCAAACATCAAATACTTCTGTACTTTTATATACGTCGTGACTTGCAAGAGACCACTAAAAGTAGGGAGGAAAAAAACAAGCAAACAAATGCTGGTAAAGTGAAATACATAAACGAATAGCTGTATAATTAAATAAAATACTTTACACACATTTAAAGCCAGCTTTATTCGTGATGAACTAACAAAATAATTGATAACTAATCGGAATTCTTAATAATCCAAAACATTTTCAGCATATAAAGTCAAAAAATTAAAGTAAAAATACTCACACAAAAATAGATCAACCGACATAAGTATTCTCGTTCAATTTTGAATAGACAAAAACCTAAAAGTGGGAATCTATTCATCCAATTAATTACATAACCTCCTAACCTCGTAATCAGTGTAATTTACACACATGCTCATTTTATTTGGGTTACAGACTTAATAGTAGGAAAGAAATTATTCAAATGTCCTAATTCTATTAGTCATAAAAGCACTAACTTTAATGAGATCTGTTGATAGAACTCTACACACGATGGTGATATGCAGAAATCAGAAAACTATTATATATGAGTGAAAAGAGAAACCTCTAACCTTTTTCCAAAATATTTCAGGGATAAGTTGATCACATGTTTCGGTAAACCAAAAATCACTACCTTCGGAGGCCACACGGCTACTAATATGGTCAATTAAATCACTGAAAATGACAAAATCATGCAAACATTTTAAGACGACATTAGAAAAATGTCAAAACATTGTTGAAACGATAAACATACAGTCAATATAAAGGATGCATTACAACAAGAGCTCATCAAAGTAAATATAAAACGGAAAATCCTGAAGGAAAACGTAATCTTACAAATATTCTGAGCATGCAACTGATATTCTAGGTAACGAAGTAGTGTTATTTTGGTCATTTACAAGCAAGGGGATTGAATAGCGAATACTTTTAGTTCACCTTAATTTAGTCAGCTTTCTCAACTTATAGGATTTCGTGAATCTATAAAAAGTTGTATGGATAGTTTGAAGAAAGTAGTTGGGACACGTACTAGACATTTAGAAATATCTAAACGTGAAATATTGGTTAGTATAAAAGTATGGATGTAGAAGAACGTAACTAGAAGGTCAAAACTGAATGTCGCACTGATTGAAGCTACTAGAAGATGACAGTCGTGAATGTGGGTCTTCAAGATGCGTAACTGAGAGAACGGGATACGATAATTGAAAATGTGAAGTGATATGACTTACATTGACATTAATAACATGGTTCCATTCGAGTCTTATCTTTTAACATTTCTCTATAAATCTCTAAATGTTATTATTCTTTTATACTTTTAACTAATTTTATAACAGTTTAAAATTAAACGACTCATACAATACACAACAACACATTATCGTCACATATAGAACAAAAAGATAATGTTTAAAGACAAAGCTTAGAAATAATATTCTCACTGTAAGTGATATCTGGTGATTATACTGTGCTATGCATTATGCTGTAACAAAGTTAGCAGGTAGTTAAATGTGAAGGTAACAGTGATATTAGAGACTGGTTGATCAGTTCCTACTTTAAAGTAATGATAATATTAAAATAGAAGCAATAATAATAGATTCGAATTTTCGTTTGTGTGCATATTTATTGATTATTAGCAGTAATTATCAATGTTATATATATCTAGGTACATACTAATCTACGATTGGGGAATTGTCACTTCTTCTCAAAAGTACGGGAATTGGAACACCCCAAGCTCGTTGACGTGATATACACCAATTTGGTCTTTGAGATATGAATGGAAGCATAGAATGCTTATGAGAAGCAGGAATAACATTAACTTTTTTATATTCTTCCTATACAAAAAGAATACATAAAATATCATTGAGAACTAGAATGCACCACACTAAAAGAGAATAGAATAAGATGTTTTGAAACAAGGTTTGGAAACAGTAATAGTCATTTCATAATAAAATATTTGGATGAGCTTTTCTAGTAGCGTATTTGAAGGCACTAATGATTACGGGTATTCCTACCCATTCAGACGTTTTTAAGTACGTTTGGTGGTTATGACAGCTTTGAATAGTTATGTTAACCAGAATAAAGATAGAACAACCAACTGGTATAATAGTCCTAACGTACTTTTTCAAAAATGTATATATTAAAAGTTCAAGGGCGAATAAACACTAAGATGTAGTCGACAAACATTTTATCTTTCTACGTTAGGGGTAATTAATCATCCAAGAATCCCTTCAGCTTGTTAAAAATATTTTGAACCAAGTTCTCTTTCGCTAAATATCTTTACATTATGTGCCACTGGTTTTCACCACCTAAGATATGGCCAAACTTAATTGATTTTTTTTACTTATCACAGTTGTGATTCCCTAATCTGATAGTAAACGGTAAATGGCCGGGCTTTCATTTTCTTGTGCATCTAAAAAATGTTATCCTCAAGAAATGTCTGCTGTCTTCAGACTAACCTGGAATGGTGGTGAGAAGAGGAAGTTTTGGTTTCTTAGTGGTTCGCATTTAGAAAATATTTACATTTATTGTTCGAAACGAATTACTTCACTAGTAAAAGCTTGCGATCTTCCAATACTTTTTCAATGAAATATTTTCCCCATTACAACAGTGATCATCCAGTAATACCACAGAGTATCAGGCTAAAATAGTGACGAATAACTGTTTTGAGTAAACCGTTGACTATACTTACCAAAGCAAAATGCGATATCTTTTCTGTATCAACAAACCACTGATTTGAGAGTCGGATAACAACAGGCTTCTGCGTACGCCAATCGTAAGGATAGCTGTGAGATATAACTTCTTTGTGTATAGTGATTGGTTCAAGTAATTTCATTACTAAATGTAAACAATATGAAACGTGTGACAATGGAATAAACCTTAAAGGACTAGAAAGCAGCTTGTAAAGATGCTGTGGTAAAATATGACGATTCCGATTTTAAAAAGTTAGTGCAATGTAGTCGATTTGTGTAGAAAATTATACTAATCTGTAAACCATGTTGAACGACAAATGATGTTGCTTGACAAAGTTTAAACTTGGTATTTTAAAGCACAACTTAGTCATAAATGAAAACATTGACAATCAGCTTAAAATGTATTACCTAAAACCGTCTCCGATGAATTCGGTAAAACTGGGTTGCAATAAAGATTAGTAAATTTCTTAAAACTTTAAACATTAGTAAATAAAAAATTCTATTAGTAACCAATGAAAGAGATAACTTTCATGGCTCTACAGTAGAACTGATGACTTTGTGGTTGGCATTAGGTTTACAGGTTAGGAGACACTCCAAGAGTCAATGGACTAAGAACGCATACAGTGGGTACGCCTCGAATAAAAGGGACGTTTCCGGGTCCCGAAGTTAGTCACCTGATAACGAAGCCAAATTGTAAATGAAAGAAAAACACTATGTAGAGAGAAGCATACCTGAAGCATTTCCTTCATCCAATACGCTGAGACCCGCTAATCCCGAACCGATTTCCTGAGTGAAACAACCAGATTCATCGACAAACAAGTTCTAGATAGAAAAATTCCTTTAATCGATAGAAGTTCAGTAGAAAAATTCAAAAATGCTGATAATGTAACCCATCTAGTTTTGTAAGCCGATAAATTAGTAAAAACTTATTGTGCACAGCTTTTTAAATTTTACTAAAAAAGGGAAGTTTATGGCAGTGAACATACCAATGGTAAATCATATTTTTTTGCCAATTCGAAGTCCTCCTTCCCATGACAAGGAGCTATATGAACCAAACCAGTACCGACAGACTCACAAACATGAGAGCTAGGCAAAAACGGCACTTCACAGGAAACACGGGTTGGATGGTAATAAAAACAACCATGAAGGTCATTACCTAAAATATAAGTATATTTTAAGTTGTACTGCTTGATTACCTATTAGTTCATCAACTTTGTGTAATCCTGCTCCCGGTAAAAGAGATATCAAGTGATCCGAGAAATTCTTGCTGACTAAGTAGACCTCCCGTGACGCTTGACATCGTAGAAGAACGTAACTAGGGAAATTGTAACAAAAACCAACTGTCAGTACTGTTAATAGATGAGCATATTTAAACGTTGTTCTATTAGCATTTGGAAATTCAGATATCATAAATTTTCTCTAAACACGTAGTTGGACTAAGAAGACTAAGTGGTCAAACAAAGACCATACTATCGGTACATGAAGCCAATGAATGTTCAATTAAATATCTGGTCAGAGTCAGTCCATGGTCTGCGGTTGTAAACGATGGGTAACAGTTCATATGCATCCACTAATTATAGTCCCTTAAGTTTTGAGCTTAAATATTGCTTTGCAATAATTATTTCTTTTTCACTATAATTGATGCAATCATTTTGACGTTTTTTGTTATATGTCTTGTTAGTTTTATTTTGCCGTGATGTAGTATGACAACATGGGCAGACCAATTTGTACCAGGCTGAGTTGTGTTTTGCAACTTAGTACATGAATTTCATTTAAATCAACAAAAATAGGACACCAACATTATGAACTTACGTAGCATTTAAGTCATATGCTATAGCTTCGTTAGAAAATATAGTCCATGGATTGGTGGTCCAAATTACAGCATACAGATTAGAATCCTCTTAACGATAAATAAGTTATCAGAAACAAGATCTACTTACTGCTAACATATTTTCTTAGACGGTTGTTATATTTCGTTAAAATGACTTTCAGATAAACGGAGCAACTTTTATGTTTAAGATTATATTCCAGTTCTGATTCAGCTATAGCAGACTTTGTACATGTGGACCAATAGACAGGTAGGGACCCTCGAAAAATAAAACCCTATGAAAAAACGTTAATTGCACAAACGATGAAGTGCCTTGGAATGTAAATCTGAAAATGCTTTAAGTTCAACGGCCTCAAAACATTTATCCATTGTAGAATAGCATCCAGTCCATGATCCTATAATACCCCAATCTTGAAAAGATTTTTTTTGGGTTCTAACAAACTTCTCGGCTAGTAGTGAAGCTAACTAGTAAAGTTTTAGAAATAACCGAGACACTTACCACTCGCGTTTCCTCTGGAGATGATATGTTTAGATTTTCTACGGCCTTGAGTTCGATTGGTAAACCGTGACAATCCCAACCAGGAATATACTCAACCGAGTGACCAGAAAGAAGTTTGAGGCGAAGAAGGACATCTTTTAGTACTTTATTCAGTGCATGCCCAGCATGCAACTCACCATTGGCATAAGGTGGACCATCGTGAAGAATAAATTTATGCTGAGCAGCATTTTTCAGTTGATGATTATAAAATTGATTCCACTTAGTCTTGGAGAAACATCATTTTAAAGAGACAACGTACATTAATAGCTACCGATTCAATAGGTTTCGAATGTATGGTAAACTGGAATCTCGGATTATTTAGCGTCGTAGTATATACACTCTTTCGACGAGTGAAACACTTAGTGCAATGGAATAATCTCAATGTTTTGTGTATGAGCATTGAATTTGATTATTCTGAGTCGTAAAGAATGAAATTTTTACAAGAAAACAGTCTCATAATAAGTCAGTAACACTAAAACTATCTAAAAAAAAACTAGAAAAGTCAAGTCTATACTTCAAATTAGTCATCCTAACACGAAAAACTTGCCTTAAATCTGACCACTTTCAGATTATCAATTTGAAATAACTGTGGAGTCTGAAAAGAATTTATTGGAAAGAATACTCGTCTTCCATACACGTGGTTTAAATGATTAATTGTAATTATCTAACACCGGAGGTTCGTCAATCAAGAGTAAACATTTTAATCGAGGTTTCATGTACATATTATATACTTACATTATGTATATGTTAACCGATCATATGCAATAAAGTTGGTGTAAACCAACTGCAGCTATGAGCTTTATACTGAGAGCAATGCAATCTATCCTGTCGTGTAATTGTTACAAAACCTGGACAGCAGCTCAGTGCACTATTATTACATATAACTATACAGACGATTATCAATACAGAAAACCTTTTATTGATATCAAATGAAGAAGTTTGACTGGTTTTGTAACCAAAGGCAGTAAAGAAAACTTGGAGAAATATAAAAACGTCTTACACCCAACTATTCTACTCGATTCAAGTACTTCGAAATAACCTTGTGATTTAATTTTTATATATTAAGCGTTTTGCCTAACGAATTAGAAAACAATAATAGACAAAATTATTGAATCCTATATTCAAATTAAAATGTAGATGTAGACGTTATAGCCAAGTTGAGTAAGATAAGACGGACCTTATTCTAATAATTATACATAAGCCTATTTAAATAATATAAAAAGAGCAAATATCTGGTTGGAATTTTGTGAACTAGATGAAATGTTACTAAAGAAAAGTGTGTTCCCCAAAAAGTAGCTGAGATTTTATTTATTTAAACACAAAAACATTGGTACAAGGAGGCACCATATAGATAGGCGCCAAATAAATTAGTCGATTTGTGTGAGGGCTGGGATACCGACCGGGTGACCAAGCCGGGGCAGGTAGTTCTCTTAGGGAACCACACCCGGAGCCTTCGATCTGGAAGTCTGATCGACAAGGCAGTGGAGCAACGTCAGAAGATGCAGTCCCATGGTAGCCGGTGACCAACGATTGGTTTATATGCCATTTGTTCCTTCTAGATGCTGGAGCCCATATGCACTATTGTTTTGGAATCAGGGTTTTCCATATCCCCTAGGTGGACTCTCCGTGTCCACCAACCCGGTTAAAGCACCGGACATTCGCTTTTTGTCTCCTCAATTTCGTAAATAACACCCCTGGCGCAAGAAGGCAGTGAGTAGGACTTTCCAGGCAGTGATTGTATGCACGTGGCCATGTGAGAGCATTTCAAGAAGGAGGGCTGAGTCTCCCCATTCCTGACCGTACTAGGACATTTGAGGACCTGAAAATTGAAAACAGATCTTAGTGACAGAGTAGTTGTCTTTCATAGAGTCAAGGAGTGAAAGCTAAAAACTCAGAAGTATTGAGCATGACATCGAGACGATAAAAGAGCTACTAGACCAGCTAATGCCTCAGGATATCCCTGCAGTCACCTTGCTACAGGTTTACAAACTGGGTAGCCAAAAGGACTTGAAACAGAATCACACCAGGTTGTTAAAAGTAGTATTTAAATCTCTAAATGAGACTTAATACTACAGAATGAGCACGCGATAAATGGGTCAGGACCTTTTGCCGTAAAGAGTTGCCGCTCGCAGACCGTATAAAAAAACGAGAAGCTAAAAAAGAACTAAAACTAAGGTTAGATGCTGGCGAGAACGACCTAAAAATTGTAAGTTTTCGGGTTGTGAGGCTTCGACAGGGAATGATGCCAAAGCCACTTTGGGTGAAGTACGAAGCCATTCAAATGGTCCTCGAACCTGTTACATGAATGCCCAGAGCTTGCTCAATAAGCGATCAGAGCTAGGTGTACAGATAGACCCTACCAAGCCGCCCGTAGTCGCAGTCACAAACACTTGACTTATTCAGTTTATGGACAGCACGGAGCTTGATTTTGAAGGTTTCACATTAGTAAGAGACGACAGAATCAAGAAGTGTAAAGGATTGATTAGGATTCATTAAAAATACCATTCCATTTACCGTTATTGAAAACTGATCCCATGGAAGTGGGACGTGTGAGTTAATTTGTTGTCCTTTGAAGAAAGCTGCTGATTGGCTTGGTATACTACAGCCCAAACTGTGAGGTAAATGAGGTTTTGTTAGATGGTTTCAACACATGGTCACAAAGTGGTTGGTGTTTAATCTTGGGAGACTTTAACGTATCTACGTTAGATTGGAAGAATCTGAGAACGGAACTGTGAGAAAATTCCTTCAGACAGAAACTAGTTGATGCGGTTATCACATGTGCCCTAATGCAACATGTAAAAGAAGCGACTAGGTACGATCTAGACTCCGAACTATCCTCATTGACCGACTCAGTCAGCCAGGCACAACGTAGGACCAAGTTGCCACACCTCATCAGCACAACAAGATGGCCACCGAAAGATTGTGCGTAAGGATATAGTACAGGGAGAAAAATTAACTGGCAGAAGGAAAGATATAAAGAAATATGAATGAGGTCTAGAATGCTGTACGAAGAAAAACTGAGTTTTCTTCCTCTGAGCTGGATAGTATGGTCGTGGAGCTTCAATCGTTATTATGAACATTATCATCACAAACTTCAGGTAAAAGAGAAAACTTCAGAGAACAAAACTGCATCAAAATCATCCACTGGAGTTACAAACCTCTTCTACTATCTCAGAAGAAAAACTTGTTAAGGAATCCACCAAATACCTTAAACTTGTAGATAAAACAAAGGAATAAGAGACGGAATATTTCAGCAATATCGGGAGACAGTAGTACTGCACTATTGGTTGAGGACGAATATGGTAAAGCTCAGGTATTCTCAAATTACTTCAGAAGTGTATATACCGTAGAGACATGCTCCCCTTCAGTTCATACAAACCTCCCTACACACACTGGGCATTGTGACCGTTTGAGAACTCGATGACTTTGGTCTGCTAAATGAGCTTGATAGAGGCAAATCTATATGACCCGATGAAGTGCATCCTAGGTTACTAAAAGAATTAGCATATTTCGTAGCAAATCCCTTAAGAATATTCTTTAATCTATCTTTAAGACTGGAAGAACTCCATAGTCGTCTTAAAAACAGGTACGAAACAAACCGGAAGACTATCGGCCAAGCGTGGTCGTTAAGATTTTAGAAAAGATTATTCAGAAGTTATTTAAGGACCTAGACGAAAATAGGATTCTTTCTAAAAAGCAGCATGGCTTTAGAACAGATTATTCCTATTTTGCTAACTTATAAGTGGCTGGTGAAAGTTGGTGCGCTATTAAAGACAAAAAGTTATCTATAGATGTAACCTGCATTGACTCCAACAAAACTTTTGACAACATCCCTAACGACCGGCTGTTATATATGTTAAGTAATATGGGGGTTTGTGGCAATTTGTTAATGTGGATAAAGGACTTCCTAGGTGGGCGTCAACAAAGAGTATGGGTGAACTCGTCGTCCAGCTGGAAAACTGTGTTAAGTCGAGTGCTTTAAGGCACAGTTTTGCGGCAGTGTTATTCCTCTTGAATATAAATGACCGTCACAGTCTCCTATCATCGGTTTAGTCATACGCTGACGATTTATCGATTAAAACACAGGGATGATACGACGCACCAAATAGATATGCGCCACATAAACTATTCGATTTGCGCGAGAGCTGGGATATGACCGGGTGTCCAAACCGGAGTAGGTAACAGGCCACATTAGTTTACTGCCATTTCTCTTACCAAGATGAAAAATGAGTAGATGGAATGGTCAAGGTCAACATAAAGAAAATACCGATTGGCAACTACCACTGCCATGAACGAGATGAAAAGCTAGTTATCATACAACAGACATGACAAAATAGTGAGTACTGTTTGAGCGAGATTCAAGATTGACCGAATCTAGCCAGACCCAATCTCCCGAGTTTAGGGAAACCCACAAGGTCGAATGAACTACACCAAAGTTTGGAGAACTTTGGGGCGATTCCGGGGAATTTTGGGCAAATCCCCAAAGTCAAATGACCCTCACTAAGGTTAAAAGTAAATTTTGGGGCCATTTCCTCAAAGTTTACAATAGCAGCTTCCCCAAAATGGGTGAAATTTTCCCCACAATTAGGAGCTCGGGGATCGTCCGTTTATCGTTTGGCTATACAAAAATGTCAAGTCCCTTAATTTTTCTAGGAATACGAAGATAGTTTCCTGGTAAAAAAAGATGATTTAAGGTTATGCAGTACATGACACTAGTTAATAAAGAAATGCGCAATTACCGAGTTAGGCGTACAACATTGAAGCCTGCAATCAATAAGTGGCGTCAAATTTGATTAACCGGTTCTACTTTCTACATATTAAAACAAGTACGTTTTTTAATAAATTGGTTCAAACGTTTTTGGACTTCATTGTATTTAAGTAATCAAAATTTAGTTTATCTGAATTTCGAGGTACTTGTAATGTCTGCCTCGTTCTAGGACGATATGTGTCAACTGGAGTTGGTTTTCCGCTTTTATTTCTCGTGAATCAAAACTATTTGCTGAAGGTAACCTACCTAAGCTATTGATTTTTTTTGCGCAAAGCCTTTACCTATAGTGTCTCAGATAGCATTTTCGTTTCTAGCGTTTCGACTAAGTAAAATTTGATGTCTTACTTGTGAACTCGATGGTAGATGGTTGCGATTTTGTAGATTGTCATTTGCCTTCACAAACTGGCATCTGTATATTCAGAAAACTTATGTCTTTTCCTGTTTCCGCGATTAAATCGTTAGGACATCTTACTGTTTTTTCAGTCTCATCCCGTTAAGAATCTTGTGAGTGCTCATAAACTAATTATGGATTTCTTAGTTTTTTAAGATCCTTGAATAGTCTTGAATACCTGTAACCAAAAGTGGCGGAACGTTCACATATACCAGATTAGTGAGATCTGATTTTTGTTAGCTTCTTGTGCAAACTATATCTCCATTCTTCAGCCTCATTGATGCCATTCTCCACTGAACATTCCTCGCTCGATATATACAGGTTCTTATCGTCCTAATATACCAGTAGCTGGTGACATTTTTGCTACCAACTTCCAGTCATATCTTAACATTAACTTCCAATAATACAAACATTCTTCAAGTTTCTTTATCGACTTGGGCGTCTGCGTTGCAGCTTGACAATTTACTATGATAAAGCGAATGTATATATATGGCTTTTTACCACGTTTATTATGGGGACTAGTTATGCTTCTAAGCTCCACATACCGAAGTAGATGAATCAGGATTCAAGACTGCTCTAATTTGGTTGAATACAAGGTGAATAATTGCCCAGTGGTCATCGTGTTACGTAGCTCTTAAATAACTTATTTCCTCAGCTTGGATTTTGCTAGCTTTGTTCCTATAAGTAGTCATCATATTTGGCTACACCAAGCGTTTACATGTCCTGATAGATTTTACCCGACCAATCTCATACTCCAAAATTCTCTTGATGTTGCGGGTCAGTTAATAAAAGTTATCTCTAAATAGTAGGGTGACATAGGAAACGTGTAAAGTCCCAACACACTATGCTTTTTATAAATTCAAAGAAGTACTCATTTTCCACCAAAATTTCTATCAATAGTATCATTTGTACAAATACGGTCTATGCTTTTATCCAATTCAATACAAACAGACGTTGGTAAAATTGCTATTTTACATCGTTGCACTTATTTGTATAAATGTTATCAGTAAAGACGAAATAGGGCTACTGAACGAAATATAGACAGAAAATGAAAATCATTGCTTCAAATCATGGTCTTCTTACCTCAGTTTACGGAATTTAATTGCATTCTGATACATAAATGTGTGCACAACCATCGATTTATCTCTGTATACTCGAACTAATATTTTCTTTATTTATATGGTGTGAATCCACAGTGCTTCCACATATGTGACGGTAATTAAGATTTAAAACTATTTGAACATTTTTCGGTTATCCGATAACATTTAACTATAACCTAACACTAGTGTGGTCTGTAACATTCTCTCAACTAATAATTAACAACTTAGAACCCGGCACAAATGTGCATCGGTTAAAATTTTCACATATCATAACCCAACCTCGCGCAGTGTGTGCGAACTAAACCAAATCTCACTCAATGACTAGACGAGTAAGGCCTGATTTCTCTGGTTTATAATGCATTCTAATTCTTGTCCCATTTTACAGTGTTGTATACTTGTCACATCTATTCTAGTCAAACATCTAAAAAAAGTTGTATCAAATCATTAGTCTAAATGCTAGTTTTCAAGTGAAATGTCATTACATGTGCTCCAGTCTTGGCTACTACCTAATATCATCAGCCCCTAAATTGTGTAGCTGATACCGTAATGTATGAGTGTATACTTTATATTGTTTTGGAACCGTACTATTACATCGCGAAATAGTAGATACTCCACAAAGCGTGACTTTTTATAGATCTTTCCAAAGTAGTTTAGGAGGATGCCTATTCCCAAATTCTTAGCTTTAATACTATTGAAGTGGTTTTTCTTCAGTTTGTATACAAACTTTTGCATATGTTGGTTACCATTATTATTGCTAATGATTTCAGTTTACAGCGATTTCCTTAATTTGAATGATTCTTTAGAGTATAGCAAGATAATAACTCTGATATCAACCCACGACCATTTCATATATCTTTGTATTGGTGTAAGTGTTCGCGCTGGTGTTACTAACGAAATCTGTGTATAGCGAAGGCTTGTAAGATGGTGGTTGACGGTAATTTACAGGGAGCCCTCGACATAGGTTTTCGACTACTTAAAACTCGTTAGAAAAATGTACTTGTAAACTTGAAGGAATTAATACCCCTCAACAGATTTGGCCTTCTGTATTCCAGGTTTATAGTTAGAAACGTTAATACCGGGTTGTTCAGGCCATAAATGACCGCCCGTGGGGTTGAGATATACCTACAACTGACTGGTCCCTGAGTAGTGATCAATGTTATGCACATCAAGTCTTTCTTACTGCTGATCGATAGAATCAATACGAACCGCCTGTAACACCATTAAAATGTTGATCTGTTCATACAAAATCTAATGTGTAACGCCCCGTTGAAAGAGGACCCTAAAACATGCACCAACTACTTCACTTTTCACGAGCTGGTGGTAATGGCACATTGTAATAAATGTAAAATGCACCTAAACGTTTTCAAATCTCGCTATTCGTTTTGTCAACGTCAAAGCGATGGTTTAGTAGTTTAAGGACAAATACCCGTTATCTTCTATCCTAAACCTTTCTTGATCGTTGTTTCTGAGCACCTCGATGGTGTCGTTATCCTTCTCAGGAAGTTTTGCTCTTTGAGTGTCACAATCTTTTCTCTACAAATTAGTTACACTACCAAAGAATAGTTCACTGTATTGTATGACTAGTTTCAAACAACAAACTTTCAAGTTCCAAATATTTGATTATAGTTGCTTTTGAAACGTTGAAGCCATTCAGTTAATAACACTGACGTTAGTTGTATAGTACCAGATAAATTTGGTAAATTGTTTTGTAGATTTCCGAACCATTTGTAGTAAAAGTGGTTGGCATATTATTCACACATACTTAGCCAGCACCCATACCGTCTCATTATGCTAGTTGGCACGATATCTCATTCGTTTCTTTTGTCTTGATTTTCCATTTTTGTTAGCATTATGATAATTTTCACTCTTTTTCTTTTCCGCTTTGTTAATAATCCTTCTATATCATAACAAAAAGATCTAGGAATTTGAACGAATAGACATTTTTTATCAGCTCTTAAGATTTTTGCATCTTTTAATTACGACGGAAGTGATACATTTCTGTCCCATATCATAGATTGTTCAGTCTTTCTACCTATCCAGACTTATTAACCACGGTCTTTTCAGTGTTTAATCCAAATGACTCAAAAGCACTATACCATTAAAAATATGTACGGCTCAGAATCGATCACAATGGCATCGGTGTATACACTCTCCGTCTTCCCTTAAACTAAGAGATTAAAATCACTTCATATCTTTCTTTCTACGAACTTTTTCTTTCATCCTGTACTATATCATTATATGCAATCTTTCTTTTATATATTACCACCTCTGAATTAACTACTTTTATGACTCCGGTGTTCATCTTGTTGTGTTAATGAGGTATGGCAACTTGGGTCGATGCATATATGTACCTGGTCCTACGTTGTAGCTGACTGACTGACATACGGCTAGCTGTATAATTGTTGTACTCGTTAGTTTATTGCAACAACAGAAATAGTTTATCAAAAACTAACATGTATCACTCAAATTGTATTTTAGATATAGGCCTACCCATTGTTCACAATTATTTGGCTTTAGTTTACATCTTGTTATCAACTCTGATGATTTTGGAAAATCACCAAATCTTTTTGACGTACTAAAGTACCAAAGTATTCCTGTTTTTCTAAGGTAAAGCTTTGGTGTTATGTGCTTCTGTTTTCTAAACTACGCTCACTGTTTGAGTGGTTTTTGTAATTTTTCACTTAAAGTAGCTGTCTAAATTTTTACGTATTTTCACCACTTTGATTTAATTAAAATTCTTTGTTCTATGTTTCGTCATACATACCATCATTACATTGTTAAAGCCTGTTCACTGTTAGAATTATAAAATACGCCTTTTTACTGTTTGAAACTGTGATCAGCCACTAATTAACATACAGCTCTTAAAATCACTTTTGATTCGCTATGAATCATTTGAAATTTCTCATAGCATTTACTTAGCTTGCTTGTTTCTCATGCTTCATAATTGCTAGTTGTTAAGCCAAGCTGTTTGTTGTCTGAAGAACACTGCAACAAGTAAGCAACCATACATGCTCATTTTCGAAGTTCGATGGTGCTTATTTGTATGGTAATTTATGTATTTATCCAGCTCGTATAACAGACTTATTTTTAGTCACTGATGCTTTCATTAGGTTTTTTTAATTGTTGTGATAGCATTCAAACGAAAGTCACAGCTGGTATCAGCTCAACTAATATATATATATATATATATATATATATATATATATATATATAATTAGAAATTTATTGAGAATAGATTTTTTTAAAGATATTACTACAACTCATTTACGTTACTCATTTCTCTATCATAGGCTACATATTTTTGTCGCCAGTTCATGTTATATGTTATGTGTACTGCATGATCTCTTCTGCACAGATTCATTCTGGCGTTGGATCGATGGCCACTGCTGCTCTGGCTCCAGTGGCTGCTCGTCCACCTTCCAGGTCAGATCAACAACATAATGGAAATATCCAAGAACCTAATCGACCTTTACGTTGGAGAGTGATTGACGACCAACCACATGTTGGAAAATACAGGTTTATACGAACTATAGGCA